CTGGATTCCAAAGAAAACAAGCATTACATGGATTCTCAGTCACCTGGGACAATTCAATTTGAACAGAGAGCAGGATATAACCTAAAAAATTCCAGACTGCTACAGCCACGTGCTGGGGTGCAATATAGCATTACAGAACAGTAAAAGGACTGTGACACAAGACAGAGAAATAAAGATAATATCCAACAGGGCAGGAAGAATCCTGTAAGACACAAATTCAACGAGTAATACCTGCCCCAGGTTTGGCCCCTGTCATTAAGTAAAGGGGGAAAAGAAGGACCTCATCCCTATGAGAACGCAGTTTGTGCACAATAAATGCTCCTCCTGGAAGTATTTTGAGCTAACGAGCACAGCTCTAACATCTCATTCTACATTACCAAGCTGACCCCATTTAAAAATTAAATAAAAGTAAAAAAACTGCACAATAAAAACCCCTTATATATGCAATCCAGCTGTCAAATGGAATTTTGCTGCCCCCACCTCAGTTAATTCACAAGAATGAATGCTGTAGGAAACAGCAGCTCGACGTGCCGTGTTCTTGATCAGTAGCTACCACACTGAACTTAAAAAGCTTAAAAAACCATGGGCAGAACCGCACAGAAAAGAAAAATGTGGAGAGAGCAGCCAGGGACGGCCTGGCAAGCATGAGATAAGTAGGGGCGCTCCTTATGGGGAGGCGAAAAGAGAGGACAGGCTTGTTCTTGCTGAGATAAGCGATACAAAAGCAGGTTTCCCCGCAGACCAGGCGCCGCCGCTCCCTCAGCGCTGGGGGCTCCCTCCCGGCTCTGCCCCGTCCCTCAGGGCCTGTCACAGCGGGCACGGCGCGAGGCCGCGGGGACGGGCGGCGGCGGCCGCGAGGAGGGCGGCAGCCTCCGGGTCACCGCCCGCCGCGCCCCGGGAGCTCAGCCCGGTTCGTCTCCCCCTCACCGCCCCGCAGCCCCTCACCTGCCCCGCGCAGCCCCGGTGTTGTGGCCGCGGGTGAGCCCCGGCCGCCGCTTCCTGCGCGGCCCTTTCCGCCTCCGCCTCGCCCCGCTCCCACCGCCCCTTCCGGGGGCCGCGACACCCGCCCCGCCGCCATCTTGAGCGCGGCAGTGCCGGCCGTGCCCCCGCCGCCATCTTGGGGGTGGCGCCGCCTCGGCGCGTCCCGCTCGGCGCCGCCATGTCGGTGGTGGCTGAGCTCTGAGGGCGGTGAACGCCCGCTGGGGCTCCGGGACGCGGGCTGGGCGCCCTGAGAGGAACTAATGAAACCCACTAAAGAGCTTGGTGGGGAGCTGTGGCACGGCAGCAGGAGCGCCAGAGCGTGGCGGCGTGCTCTTGGCGTGCTGTGGGTTAAAGCAGTTTGTAGGCTGAGGTCGCTCAGCACACACAGAGAAAGGAATGTAATTTATAAAAATAATATTCCAAATCACTGCTGTAGAATCATAGTATGTCCTGAGTTTGGAGGGACCCACAAGAATCACAGGTGATCGAGCTCTGAGCAACCTGGTCTAGTGGGAGGTGTCCCTTCCTATGCCAAGGGTGGAATGGCATGGGCTTTAATGTCCGTTCCAACCAAAACCGTTCTGGAATTCTGTGATCATCCAAGTCCAACTCCTGGTCCTGCAGAGGACACCCCAACAATTCCACCATGTCCCTGAGAGCCTTGTCCAAACACTCCTTGAGCTCTGTCAGCCTTGGGCTGTGCCCACTGCCCTGGGGAGCCTGTTCAGTGCCCAACCACCCTCTGGGGAAAGAACCTTTTCCTAATATCCAACCTAACCCTTCCCTGACACAGCTCCAGCTGTTCCCTGGGGTCCTGTCACTGGTCACACAGAGCAGAGATCGGAGCTGCCCCTTGTGAGGAAGCTGCAGAGCCCAATGAGGTCTGACCTCAGTGTCCTCCCAGAACGAGCCAAGTGCCCTCAGCTGCTTCTTGAGGGCCCCTCCAGACCCTTCACCATCCTCCTGTCTCTCCTTTGGACACTCTCTAATAACTTTATAAGTGATACATTACCTGAAGAGGCTTTAACCTGCCCCAAGAGCTCTGAGAGTTGCCTTTGCCACGGTGTATTGAGCATTATATGGGTCTATTATTTAGGCCATTTATCTTCTGCTAAATAGAAGAGGAAATTTTGCTACTTTCATGATTTTTTGCAAGGAAATTCATAATATTTGAAACTGAAGAAAGAGGAAAACAGTGGCCAAAAATCAATTTGTTAAATTTGTTCAGGTATGAGTCCAAAAGACCAAAAGTCATTAGGTGCATTAGCACAAGTAAGGAAGGTGTCATGATTTAACCCCAGCCAAATTTATTATAGCACTGGCATTTTTATTTTTTTTCAGGAACTCAACTATCTGATTTTCAGGCCTGTGTTTCATTCCTTGTCTTAGAAAGGAAAACAAAAAAAATTTAAAACCTTACTATGAAAACTCTGTCCTCCACATATAAATGCATCAGGTATATACATCACATATACAGATATATCAATGATATTAGTACCTTTTTGATGCAGAGTTTTGAAAACTCTAATCCTCCATGAGTGCAAAATCTTTTCTATTTTCCATTCAACACCAATATCTGGCTCCCTCTATTTTATTTTCTAGCAAGCAGGACCCGAGCTTGTTTTACCAGCTCACTCAAGCTACGTACATTTTTCCTTCCCCTTATTTCCATGTCATTGCTCCATCACACAAACTCGACTGTCCAGATTGTCCAGCCACTTCAGCATTTACTTCAGCTGTCATTTGCAGCAATTTGCAAATGGTGTTCTTTGTGCTGGTATGCGGCAGAGGCTGCTTTTCATTATCTGCAGCTATGGGCCAGCAGGAGCTCATAAAAAGCACTCAGTGTAGAAAAGTCTTGATCTCCAGCTGCCCTTGTCTCAGATAAATCACGTCAGAAATTATCAAAAACAAATTAGAGTCCCAGAAGTGTGGTTTAGACCTCTGACTTACAGCTTCTTGAATCATTCTCGAGGATGTGCACAGGAAATTTTGCATCTTAGGTTTGGCCCAGAAGCGCAATCAGTTAAATATCTCAACATACTAAAGCAGAGGGTGTGAATATCCACTTAGGCTCTAACTAGCCGAGCTAGAGGGCAGAAAGTATTCACAAATTGTCTGCTGGATTTTCTGACATCGTGAGGAAAGCCCAGAGTTTACCTTTGTTTTCTCAATCTGATCTTTCTTTTCTTATTTTTATCTTTTTTTCAGTCAAGATGACCTGTTGTGAGAACCTCTTTAGGTAGACTGTCCAGAGCCACAAGCCTCTGAGCTATGAGAAACTTTTACAATATTACCTTTCTCATTGCATTCCTGCTGCCTAATTGCTGGGACCTGGTTTCCATATAAACAGAATTCATGATAGGGATGGCTTTATTCTGTGTTCAGCAGTTCCCAAATTTTCCTCCTGTGTAAGCCCAGTGAAGTCAGTCATTCATCAGTTTTAATTCTGGGAAAATGGATTCCCATGACCAACTATGCAAATGTAAAAGACACAAACTGGCTTAATAATGAAGAAAAAAAGGATGTAAGGCAGAACAGAAATTTCTTTAGGTCTAAAAGCCACCAACTTATCAGAAGTGAAAGGAGTCATTAATGATCACATTTAAATGACAGGATTTAACAGAGATACTGCTCTGAAGTTTATACAATCTTACAGTGTACCAGATTTGATTCATTTAAAGGAAAAAAAGAGGCAGATTGAAGGGTAAATTTCAGTAACATGAGGCCATCTAGTGGAATACAACTTTTGTCTTGCAGACTTGATTTTTTTACCTCTGGACTTAGTCCCTGCTCCACAATAGTTTTCTATAACTTGGGAAATACTTGTTACTAAAGGATGCAATAAACTTATTCTCTAGGAAGTTCACCATGGACAAAAGCAAAAGAGTTACTGTTTATTTTAATAAACATGCTAAACAACATAAATGAATCAGAATTGCACAAAGGTAAAGGAAAAATAAGCATTTAAAATTTAGCTACAAAACTGGAAGAGTCAAAGCACTACCTAAGAAAGCTGAAACCTTTGGAAAAAGGTATCTGCTAAAATTTCTGGATAAATGGAAGAAAACACTTTATCAACAAGGGGAAGAGAGGCCATGCCTGCACTGACTTGTGTCCACTCAGATTGGGTGGCATCGTCAGAAGATTTGAACTTTAACTTTGTAGACCAATGTATAATGAAGGGCTCATGTAAAATCAACTTTCCTGCTACAGGAAGAGGAATGCTCCTGAGAATCCCAAGGAAGTGCTTTTCAGGGAGGACAGAAGTGTCAATCCCAGCACTTTGGAGTGGAGCAAAGCAGCAAATGAGAGAACACAGGTGAAAAACAGACTTTATGCTTTGTTTGCTACCATCAGCACAGACAGGATGAATGAAATCCAATTAAGAGACTGTGGTAGGGCAGTGTGAAGCTGTTCTCAGCACTCCTCTGTCATGCAGAGCTCCTTCAGCAGACCCCTACTTGCTTCACGCGTAAGGCACCTCTACTTCTCCTGTAAAGGAAGGGAAGAACATCAGCATTGCAAATGGAAAGCTCAACATCATGCACTGAAACCTCTCCAAAGCCCTTTGCTAACAACTTGCTAACAGAGAAGACACCAGAAACATTTGTAGCAGATGTGAGGGCATTGATCTGTAAACAACCTTCCTTTGAAAATTGTATATTTTATCCATAAATAGCAAGGTATTTCCAGTACCACTTTTGAATTATATGACTCAAGCTAGGTCCAGGTACCATGTTCAGCCTGTGTTGCTCGTTGGACTCTTCTCCTTACTGTCCAACTTCTACAGTTTCTGCTACAATAGGAATTTGCTCACACAGATATCAAAGTCGTTTGTTTAGACCAGTTGGACCTTATAGGCAGGAGAGGCAATTAATCTGCAAAGATTAAGCAAAGGAACAGAGAAGTAGCGACCCTGAAAAAAAAATGATAGCACTTAGGTGGAATGGAAATCCCAGATAATTCAGCTAACCTCAGATTTTGGCTAATTCAGGAGTAATTAGGTAGAGTTGTACTTACAGGACTGCTTTGCAGAAAGAACATTTGTTGTTATATGTTTTTCCATCAGAGCCGCAGAAGGGTTGATAGAGCCTTTCGCAGTAAATGGGTTTTCCTCTCTCTAACCTCCTGTATTCACTGCAGTCCACCTGCAAATAGAGTGTCATTTTTCTTTGAATCCATCTTTCTCACATTTTCCGTTCACCTACAGAAATAATGAATATATGACATTTTTGGATGTGCTTGTCAGCTGCTCTAGAGCAGCACAGTCAATGAGGCTTCACCATTTGTATTAGCTGAGCCTAAGCCTCAAAATAGAAGTGTTCCTTATCACAGAGATGTGTATGATGATGCCTGTGACACACACTGAGCACCTTTAAGGACTGTGCTCTCCATCTGAATAGCATTACAGTCACTGGAAAAAATATAGTTACAGAAAAGTTGAGTATTAGTACTTTTTTCTAGCTGATTGCAATGGTCAGTAAATTCAGGTGAGATTACTTCTTGAGGATTTCTTTATTGCACAATATCAGCTCTTGATGCTTTTTACACTGGGGGAAAGTTCTGCCCAGGTGAAATTAAAGTCCTGTTTAAGTATCAGCATGAAAAGGAATTGTTGGAGGCCTCATCTGATAGCGGGACTGTATTCATTACAGACTCAGACATGAGAATGGGACTACAAATGTCCAGTTGTTTCTTGAACACCTCCTGGGATGGTGACTCCACCACCTCCCAGGGCACCCCTTTCCAATGTTTGACATCCCTTTCCATGAAGAAAATCCTCCTGAGTTGTGCTAATATGGACCCAGCTCTGTGTGGGGGTGATTTTTCATTCCCCACTATTCATCACTGGGCTCTGAAAGGTCTTGTCCCTGCTCATCTGAGTAAGGATTTTTTTTTCTTGGTGTCTCATTTCGTTCAGAGGTTGACCCCAGGATGACTCCAGCATAACCAGAGAGAAATTAAAACCTCCAAGTGCCAGACTTAGGACCTGAAAGTCATTAAGAAAGACTTACAGTGTCATAATCAGATAAATATTTTTAAAAATCCAGATTTCTCTGACTTAAAATTTGTCCTTGCCCAGTTTCTTGCCCAGAATACATAACAGGTAAAAGCATCTGGAAGTTGTCAGGGCAACTGTATGAAAACCACATATCTCAGAGTTGGGGATTTCTCACTGAAATCTCAATACATGGCTAGCAATTAATTAAAGTTTAACGTGTTTGTTTTTTTTCCTGACCTCATGTTATTACAAACTATATAGTTTTATCCAGAAATAAAGAAAATTACTCACTTCGTTCTCTTTGTCAGCATCTGCAATAAAACAGAATCACAAAGGATAAAATAAAAACCACAGTTAATGAACACTCAGTTTCAAATCAGGATGATTTCATTAGTCTCAGCCCTTCCAGCAACACCAAGTCTTTTAACTCCTTGAAATAAATACTGACAGAGCTTTTCAGTGTTTAATAAGACACAGGTGTCAGAACCTATTAAACAAGTGGACATTATTCTAGTATTTACCTCAGAAACCTCTGTCAGCTGCTAGGACAACCTCTGTTGTAGAAGCAACTGGAGCTATTGTTCCCCCTTTCACCGCAAAAAGATTGAAGCCCCAGAAGTCAATATTATATTCCATGGCCAGTCTGTTCAGGATCAACTGGTTGTTGAGCATGACTGGGTTTTAATTCCTAAGTTTGTAAAAAAAGTTGCATGTGGTTGTAAGAAAATCACATGTTCCTTTTATGCTTTGATTTTCTGTCAATAATGAGGATAAAACTTCATCAAACTAAAATATTAAATATATATAATAATGATAATCCAATTTGGATCATAATACCACTTTAAAAAGTGACTTCCTTTGCTGGTCAATACAGATTCTAAACTGATTGGCTCCTATTTTGTACACACATGGCATCTGATAGAATGGAACCCTGTTCCGAGGTGGGGCTTCAAGGAGCTGCTTCAAACAATGCTAATTACACCTCCCACAAAGTAATCAAGTGCCATTGGCATGTCTCCATTATGGTGACACATTTGTTACTTTCTTTAGGAATGTGTTTGTTCTCCTGTCCTGTAATCATCATCCTTGGGGATTCCAAGGGGTAAAAGTTATCAGGCAGAGACTTCTGTGCAGAAGGAGCAGGAGGAAAATTTGTTATGGCAATATAGCTCTAGTACTTTGGGCTAAATGTGGCTTTTTCTGATCTTTAAAGCCATTAAAGTTTCCACTGGAAGTTTCTTTCATGGAGCTGTTTACATCGTCTCATCAAATAAAGTTGTTCAACACAAAGAAAACTATCATAAATAGTGCTCCATGTCAAATTTCAATCTGTGTCACCAGAGGTTTGACAGTTTTCATTATTCTGGAATTGGATTAGATTTAATCCACTTCCCCCAAAACATTAGGATGTTATTTTTTCTCCAGTAACCTTCTAATAGCCACTCTGCATATGGGAGTGAATGCAAAAAGATGTAGCTCAAAAAGTACTAATTCATAAAGTTTTAACGGAGACAAGGTAAACTAAGAAGTTTAAGGAAAAGATTTCCTGGAATTCTTATGGAAGTAATATTTATTTATTATTCTGCAGTAAATGAAACACTGAAAGAATAGTTTCTGTCGAATCATGCAATTTCATTGAAATTGTTGTTCATAAGCATTTTGAATTTGAGACAATTTTCAAAGCAAACCTTTCAGACCTATTCAAAATAGAAAAATATTAATTTGTTTCATAATTTGGGGTTTAATATTTTCATTATTTTGCTTCTTTAATGTTCTTAATGCTTTTGAACTTCCATACCCCAGCAGAAATGTGGACTCTCAGTTATCTTAAATGTACTAACTTATAAGTATATATTTTACTGCAAGTTTTTAGTAAAAATAAAAATACCAAGTAAAGGCTGAAGAAATTCCTCCCAGCTCCCTGTTTTATCACAGAGCAATCTGCCCCTCAAAGCTCTCTGCAGCCTGGCAAACTAACAGTATAAAGAGGTGGTTTACACCTGTATTATGTGTCCAGTGCATAATCAACTGTCCCCTGCATGGTCAGTTTGGCAGGAGAAGAACCTCATCAGCTCCAAGCTCTCTTCTCAGATAAAATTTAGAAATAAGTAGGTAAAACCAGCTGTAGTTCTGAGGCTTTGCAGTTCTTTTTAGTCACAGTGCAGAATGCAGCTCTGATTCACACCACCCCCAAGGAATAGGTTTCATCCACTCAAGTGGGCAACTGTACAGCTGGCACAATAGTGTTTGATAAATAGAGCACAAGCCTAAAATTTCACTTTCTGTCTCCCGCCCAGCTCCAGGAACCATTGCTTGCTGTCCCAATACATTGAGAAACTTGCAGTCTTTAGACATAAGGACTATAATATATCAGGAAATACAGGAGGGTTACTCACTTGCCAAGCAAAGAACTGCCAGAGCGAGGAGCACAAAGACTCCTGTTGTCTTCATGGCCAACAGGGGTTCTTGACCTGTTCCACAGCCGGTCTGCCCTTCAAGTATTCCAGCACGTTTAGCTCCAGTGTGTGTCCATGTGTCTGTGGGAGCAGATATTTATATACACGCACAAGGTGCAGGAACCCTGGTGATGAAATCCTCTCACACAGAACATAATTAGAAGAAGGTGTTGCCTGTGTAGTGTCAATAGAATGTCTTCTGTATAAGGTGAAGGTCATGAGTGTCCTAGCATGGATTGTGTTGATAGAGCAGATATATTGTTCCTTGGCTAAGCCCCTTGCCTAATTAACTGTTCCATCTCTATCAGCAAGTCCAATGAGTGACTCAGTAAGGTGGTTACTTGTTGCTGGTCTGTTATTGCTTGTTGACTCTTAAAGATGAACATAATTCCCAGGGGAAAAATAATTCTTACTGGGTGTGTTCTAAAAGATTCATCCCCGTGGAGCTGAAGTCCTTAATTCCTGTTGTCTTGATGTTTTGAGCTGCCTGTAACCTCTGTTTAAGGGCAATGCTGATTACTGTGGCTGTGCACTGAGCCCCTCTAGGCTGCTCTGGAAAAGAATGTTTCATTTGAACACCCTAAACTTCACAAAAAGCCCAGAGAATCCTTCAGTGTTCCAGTGTTCTACTTCCTTTAAAATTCTGCCACTTTAGAGATGAGAACCAACGTTCCGTGAGAGAAAGAGCAAAGATACCACATGGCACTGCCTGGCAAAGAGCAGGGATGAGTTCAGAGCCACTGGGTATCCTGCTGAGTTACTGCCTGGTCTGCTGTCATGGAGGAGATTCCTCTGCCTGCCCCTCTTCTCCTATTTTCCTATTTCCAGCACAGTAGGAGGGATTCTTTAAAAAAATACAACATACCATTGTATTAGTGACTTAATCAATAGACATCATTTTCTGTCTTTTATAATACGGCTCAGGTCAGGGGGAGAATCAGATCTGAGGCTTAATTTTCATGCATTTCAAAGTAAAGTGGAGTTTTGAGCCGATAGTTTGGTTTGAACCCATTCCTCCAAAATTGTCTTGTCTTAGTGCAGTTGTGCAAATTGTCTCAATAGGAAAGATCCCTGCACACTACTACAATTCACAGTATTTCAGTGATCACCTTCCCTCACTGCAAGGAATTGGGGCCATATGTGCTAATTCCAGGAAGACAGAGAGGACTGAAAGTTCTTACAGAAAAGGTTGTAATAGGTCAAGTAGACCTTGGGCCTCACTAGTTTATCCCAAGAAGGATAAATATCATCTTGTCTTTAAGGATTATAGGTAATTATTAAATGGCTAATTTTTCATCACTTCATGGGATGAAAAATATAAATGCCATCAAATTCAAGTTCCAGGGTAGGTAAAGATCTAGTTTGAGCTGGAGCCCTGTAATTCAATGCCTTTACTTCAGTGATTTAATATTTAATTTTCCTTTGTTCTTAACTTGGACACCTGTGCACGTTCCTTTGAAGTTGAGATCACAAGAGACAGGCTGTCTGGGACAGGCTGACTGGGATCGGTCTGGATTCTGCTTTGGGATGTCAGTGAAGTTTTTGTACTGTAGAGTCCAAAACCTTTCTGAAGAGCCTGGCAAAGAGCATGTACAAACTCGTGGAGAGTATTCAGGACATGTTCATTGGTTGATGGACAATTACCAGCATTAGGCAACAAGAGCAAAACTCAAAGCAAGCCGGAAGTTACTCCCAATCTGAATAGTTTTGAGCAAACAAGACTCTTGAGGAAATCTTGAAACCGTGAAACTGCAGCTTGACAGAACACACCGGTTCCTTGACACCGGAATGAGGAAATCTGCCACTCTGGTTATGCTCTCTTGTTCTAATACAGTGCTCCACAGTGTCCTGTCTGATGCAATCTCAATATCCATCCCATCCCACCAGCAGAAGAGTATAAACATCTGCTTCAGGTCTGCTAAGTTGATGTAGGAATCTTCTCTGAGGCTAGTGCAGGAAGAGATGACTTTTGGAGGTGGGAGGGGACCAAAAAGGGAGGCAGATTTTAAACAAGATTTTTCTTAGCATTTGAAAGTTCTCTTTCTATTGGAAGGCTTCCTAATGCTTATTCAGTGCCCCATATCAGGAAAGCCATGGGGTGAATGTTTTTTTTCTGGTAATGTTTAGGTGTATTGTTAGAGCTTTTGAATCAAATAAAGATTCATTTTCTGAACAGTGGACCTTAAGCTTTGTAGGGCTTGCCTAGACCACTCAGTTAGGAGGGACATAGTTGTGATGAGAGGCTGTGATATATTGTAGGGTGTGCAAACAGCAGCTCACTCACAGCAGGGGCTCAGCTGAAATTCTGGAGATTTTTGTGTTTTGGAATATAAAAGCTGTCTTTGAGAAGAAAAATGCCCTACTCAGAGAGCAACAGTCTGTTTCACTTTCTGCAGTGAGGTGTTACTCACATGCAGAATCTCAAACTGAAGCTTGGTAAAGAGTAATGGCACAGAACACTTACTGCAACTCCAGTTTAAAAGGAGACCAAAGTCTCTGGATCTCTATTCCTCGCTTTGAGAATGGGCAGAATTCACATCAGCCAGCTAGAGAAAATAGTCACTATTTGACTGAAAAAATGCTTTATCTGAGGCATCTTTCTTGTCCAAACTTGTTGTTTGCCCTGGTAGCTCTTTACATGGAGCTGGTCTGACAACCTGAGGCCTGTCATCCTCAGGCAGACTGAAGGTTCACTTATTTCAGAGTGCTGTGCTCAAGAACTTCCAGTGGCATACTGGGAAGAGACCAGTTTTCATGGTGTGCAAGTTGGACATGAGTCAACAGTTTGCCCCTGTACTGAACAAGTCCAGCTCTGCATGCTGGGCTGTATTAGTAAGAGTATAATTATCAAGTTCAGCATTGGTGAGGCTGTATCTGGCATTCTAGGTACAGTTCTGGGCTCCCTGGCACAGTTCCCAAGGGAACTGATGCTATGATTCCCACAGGAGAATGTCAAGTGTTGCTGACAGGCAGCTGCTCAGGGACTTTGTGGCATATTTGTCCTTATGAGTTAACATTTGACAAAGCAGACATGGACAGTAGATTAGCACAATGGATTGATTTTATCTACTTGGAAAACATGTTGTTTGTTGGAAAACAAGTGTTCAGATCTGTTTAGGAATAGCTGCTTCCCAAAGCTGTGTCAGTAAGGCCTCTTCATCACACCTAAAACTAATTTAGAAATTTATAGGAAACACTCTGTATCGAAGAATAGTGAGTGAAATTTTGACCTAGTCAGCAAACTCATGAATACATCTAGGTTAATTGTGGGCCTCTCATAGTTTTCTACCTTTATCTTTTTCTGCCTTTATCTTCATATCTTGTCTTTTTATCTCTTCAAGTTGACCTTCAGAAGAAGAAAAAGTAATTACATGGTGTTACATCTGGTAAAATATTAGTGCATATTTTTCCGAGAGTAGGACAGTTCTTCACAATTATTCATATATTGCTTTTAGATTTGGAGTGCTGAGTGGAGCACGAATGGGATGCCAAATATGCTGCTGCAGCACGTCATTACTTAAGTGCCTGCTTTATTCTGCATGGGAGGGTGTTCTGTGGCTGCATTCCAGAACAGTAACCTGTTCCCATTCATCTGATGGAGTGCCTCCCATTGAGGACACCAACAATGGTGAAAAAATGGCACGTGGAATAGCTAATAAAAATACTCTCACGCACACCACATAAACCCTTGAAGAATGTACAAGCCAGGATAGACCCTGCCATGGTCACCCGCGTCGGTGATTCCAGCGCGTGTTTACTCGGGACGCGGCTCGCGGGCTCCCTCAGTCCTGCTCTGGGTGGGTGGTTTGGGTTGTCCGCCCATGTGCAATTAACATATCAGACTTTTGAAGTCTTGCTCAATGGAAGGTTTGAGAATCAAGTGATGTGTTTGTTAAGGCATCAAACTGGGCCAAAACAGTATTTGCCTGAAGGAAGGTGAGTTTCTCATTTTCCACACCTTAAGAGAGATCAAAGGAGCCTTTCTTTAACACTGCGGGTGTCAAGGCAGGACAGATCCCTGCTGAAGGTTTCAGGTGTTATTTCAGAAAGTAAAAAATAAACCCAACACCTCTCTGCAAAGGCTGGTGCTGAGCTTTAAATTTTTCTTTGTATCTTCTGATATCTTTAAGATACAATACAAGGCTGTGATCCTGTTATCCTGCAAGGAACTTGTGGATCCTTCGAGTTACTTAGTGCCATACCACTGATGGTTCTGAATGGATTCTTCACAGGTAAAACAAAACAAGCATTAACAGCTTAACACTTACACTGAGTGTATTGAATAGGACTTATTTTAAATTGCCTTAAGATGCAATTCCCAGGTGTTCAGCCCTTTGAAGTTTGGTCACACTGAACTCAGTCAAAGTGACATGCTTGAAGCAAGGTTTCTTTTAAAGTTTTTTCATGTCTCAGAACAAGGTTGGAGCATATACATTGGGTTTGCCTGTATTAAAAATACCATTACTATTATAAAAGAGAATGTACAACTTACGAAGAAAAGGGATAGGATGAAGGTCAGCATGGAAGAAGGGATGGATATGAAGCATTTGGACCTGAAATCTGTATTCTCCCACAGAACCCTTAATTAGACATAAGCCTTTTTTCCCCCCTTTTGCTCCTAGCAAGTGCCTGCTTGCCCAGCTGAAGCACTTAGAGGATAGCAAGTTCCTACTGTAACCAATTAGTGCCTCATTAAGGACACCAACTATTTGTCAAGCATTCCTTAAGATGAGGAGCACCCACAAAAAGCCCTGAAGGGAATTAGTCAGTCTCTGTTCAGTGCAGATTTAGGGAGGTGTGGTAGGCAAAACCTAAAGCCACAGGTTGAGTGATGAGTATGAATAGAAAGCTGGAGGAGCTGCCCCTTCCCAGAAAATGGTGGGACACAGAGTCAGGAGTAGGTCCAGTATAAGACTGTTATCTATTTATACAGTTAATGACTCTCATACCTCAGGAGCCTCAGGAATAAACTTAGTTCTATAATTTTATTTCAGAAGCAATCTAAAGTTCTGGGGGCAATTTTGTACATTGTGCAGCCTGACTGAGTCTATGCATTGTGACATTTATCAGAAGTCTCCAGATTATTTGCAGTGCAACAAGGAGAGGAATTAAGAAAGAGAAGTCCAAGGACTAACTGACACATCAACTATTATGTTCCTAAATGGATGATGTTAGAAAATTGTCTCCAATATATGGAGCCACCACAGGGAATATTTGAGCTGTGATAGTAACACTTTTTTATACAGTCTAGACAGTCCCTCAGAGATGGGAGACTGACAATTTTTAGAGGAGATATTCACAAGCACTTGGGTCCATATGAGGCCCAGGAAATCGAAAATCAAGGATTAAAGCCAACTTTATGTCTTAGAGCAGCCATCTTATAATTAACCTGATTTCTGCAGAAAAAGAGGTAGTTTCAAGCTGCACTTTGTTATTTTCCTGAAGAATCTTAGCCAATGACTTCCCTCACTGGCTCCTGATTCCCCTATAATCCATGCCAGAAAAGCTTCCTGTAGGAAGGTTCGACTCACCTTATGGCATTGTGGCACAGAAAGGCAGATTCCTCTGAAGGCAATAGATCAATATAATCTTTATCAGGATACTCATAAATTTAGCCTGAGTATTCCAGAGAACGGAAACTGGGCTGGACCCAAGTTAATGAGAGGTTGCAGTGATGGGTTTCAGTGGTGCCAAGGTTTCAACCCAGTTGTCTGAAGAACAGGAAGGTTGGTCCTATGAATTCTGAGCACTGCACCGACAGGATCAGAGAGAAACCTCAAAGACCTCAAGATCTATTTCAAGTGGTTTCAGTTACAAACCTCCTGACCACAAAGGCCAGAGAACCTCAGTGTTCTCTTTGCCTGCAGAAAGAGGGTTTAGGGGATCTGGCTGACTCACTGTTGCCACTTTGCTGGGTGGTCCTGCACACTTTTACAGGCCATGGATTTGTTAGTATTAATCAGTAATAATGACTTTGCCCTACAGACATTTTTGAAGGAGTAGTGTATAACATTCTGGTAGAAAAGTGAACAGTGACACAAACCATTCTTAAAAAATCACAAGTAAACCAAATTTTCTTGTTTTCAGATGTATTTATTATTAGCTCATTAAAAAAGCACAATAAATTGCATTTATAGTGGAAATAAGACACATAAACTTAATATATTACTAGCATTTGTAGCTAGATTGTCAGCAGTTTTCTGAAATATCAGATATCTCACACATTTCAATCTATAAATATCTGAAATTACCACCATGGCTAAGACTGGGAAAAAAGGAAGCATGGTTGCAATGAAAGTCTTTCTTTAATTTCACTGATTCTTTATCAGGGCTTAAAGTCTGAATCATCGGATATTTTACTATTTTGCCTTCCTGTAAGTCAGGACTCAGGTGTTTTGACAAATGTTGCCCCATCTCTGGAAGTGTTCAAGGCCAGGTTGGACAGGGCTCTGAGCAACCTGGTTTAGTGGAAGGTGTCCCTGCCCATGGCAGGGGGTGGAACTGGATGGCCTTTTAAGGTCCTTTCCAAACCACACCATTCCATGATTCTATGAAAAATACAGAGGCTTCAACACGTTTCTGTCTTTTTCCAGACCTGGGGACTTACTCTGTGAGCACTTCAGAGCCAGGACTTGAGGTATTTTACCTAAGGTTCTGTGAAGACACCAACTCATGATACAGTAGTAGGGAGATACTTTCAAAATGAACTATAAAAATCTGTATTCGAAAACTCTAACTTTAATTAGATGCTTAACACCCGTATATAAAACCTGTTAACAATTGGCCTCTGAGGTATCAGATACAGTACAAGTGTAATTTCAGCTGCCTTGGTTGTAGCTGCAGATTTCTGACTCCTGTGCCCAGTGCCTGTGGCACAGCAGGTTGGAATTCATTTTATTGTCAGTAAATTCCACTGCAGGACATGCACTGGATACACAGGGGTCACTGAATAAAGGGCCTCCAGTGACCACAAACGTGGAGGAAAAGGAGGTTGTTTAGGAGGGGTTAAATTCAGGCACTGGTTACCAGTTCCTTTCATGTTCATGAGTGGTGGTAATAGGAATTAACCACAGCACTCATGCAGCCAAGGCTTTCTATGCTTACACATTCCAACAAAAATAAATAAAAATAAATAATGAAATAGACACATAATCAAACCATTAAATATTGAAACAGTTCTTTCTGGAATTTACTTTACAAATAACTTAACATATGAAATGGTTCGAATAGTAACTGCTATCAACTGCCCCAGCAAGTCATGTCAATAAATAAATAAATAAATAAATAAATAAATAAATAAATAAATAAATAAATAAATAAATAATGCATAAATAATGCATAAATAATGCATAAATAAATAAATATTAAATAAATAAATGAAATGTAATAATGTGAACCTACAATAATAGCTGACAGCAACGCATCAAATTCATGTTAATATAACATGATGTATGCTAAAGGTGTTACTCATATCTGGGGAATTTAAGAGCTGCCAAAATCAGGAACATATTCATATCTTACAAAAAAAAGATGTTATGACTTCTTAATAATCTCAAATGCAGATTTTTCTTCAAATTGTGCTTATATTCTTGTGCTGGTTCATTCTTTGCTTTCTTTAGGAGTATTGTGCCATCCTCCTGGAATCTCTTACTAGTTATCTGTAACATAAGAGAAAGCAAATTTATGTAAGAATTATGTTAATTCTCCTCAGACCCAGATTTTTAGTCCACAGGCCCACACCATGCAAGGCTCAGGAGGCTCTGTGTCTGATGGGGATCAGGGATTCAGCTTCAGCTGATGCATGTGAGGCACTGTAACCCAACCCATGTCCATGAACCTACACCCATTGTTTCCTCTCTGATTTAAATGGATTCTAATTGTTTCCTCGATTATTTTTGTAAGAGAATCACCATTTAGGCAGCCCAACACATTTATTCTCTTACAGATATTTAATGAAAAAGAATATTCAGGAAACAAAAATGATTCCAAGGACATGTAAAGTCAATGATCGTTTAAGAATTAGAAAAAAAAATCATAGACTCCATACTCTTCTAGGTAAGGACTCATCCCTGCTTCTCTAGTAGAAGGTTCTTTAAGCCTTACCTGCAGAGTGAAGACCACTCACTCCAGGATGAGTGGTAGTAACGATCCCTGGCCTGCACGGAAATCTCATCCTTCGGCCCAGTGTTTGGAAGGTGGAATGACTGTTCATCAGTAACATAGACGACCTGTGAACAGGGCACAGCTCCTTCAGTGGATTGTAAAGGTTGAGAACACAGCACCAGAAATGTTCCAACAAGCTCATGTCACTTAAACCCCCACTGGCAATCTAGTGTTTCACAGGCACCAGTACCACCCACAGACAGCAAAGGCTTGTGAGAACTTGAGTCACAGCAGAAACCAACTAAACAGCTCATGTTCCACTGAAGTTGGTGTTCTAAAGTGATCCAAACCCCAGACTGAAACACTCATTAAGACAAAGGGGTTATTTGTTTATCTGGGTTTTTCTCTTTTTATTTCTTCTCTCATAGTGAGAACCATAAAAGACAGAGGTTACTCCTTTTCAGTGTCGTTGAAGTTCCCACTGAGGACCTGTGGCTGATACAAGAAGCGTCTGGAGACTCTCCAGTTTCTCCACTGAAGGGACTGTAGGAGCCAACACTACTAAAATCAATGGGGGAATGGCCCCATCTGCTGGTACGGGCGAGTGGATTCTGTCCACAGAGGAAAACACATCCTCTTTGGATGTGTCTCTGGATTAATCCCCTGACAAGCTGGGATGATCACTACATTTGTTTGCTTTTCTGATTGCTGGACCAAGGCAGAGCAGCACTGCAGTTCAGGTCCTGCTCTGTGGTCAGCTAGTCTTTCCAGTTCTCTGCCAACCCAGGCAAGTCACCATCACCACTGTGTGCCCATGAGCATCAGCAAAAGAAGCAAAACCATTTGTGATTTAAAACTGACGCAGAGGAACAATGTTTAGATAATAATTAACTAACAAGAAATAGAGTGGCAAAGACCACAGACTGAACAGAAATGCTTCCAAATGAATCGGTGATTCCTTATTTCTTGTTCTCCTATAAAGTCTGAGCTGCCCAGGTACAAACAACACATGAGGAAATCCATGTAACAGATCTGAGACTTCTTGATTTGGAAATTGGGATTTTCACACATTAGGACCCACACAGCCTACTAATGAGTTGGTAAATACTTTTCTCATGCTAGCACAGCTATGCAATACTGGGCAGGATTTTCTCTCCTCAGTAACATCAGGGATCTTACTGCTCATAGAACTGGGAAGGTGTTTTTCTGCCAAGGCAGAACTTGCCACATTCGGGTCTGAGCACCCTTTTTTTTAATTTTAGTTCATGATTCTTACATACAAAGCTTATATTATTTATACTATCTGTTCAAGCAATAAAACTGTGTTTCAAATGTTGTGTTTTTACCTGGTTTTTGCGTTTCTTCGCGCTTTTAACTTTGACCTTAAAAGTCAAAGGGAAGTAGGACTTTGGGGTGCTCCATGTTTTAGGATATTCCCAAGTCACCATTCCATTTGTGGCCACATACTGACATTGGGGTGGGTCAGGTTTTACTGCAAGAGAAAATATAGAGGTAATTAATTCACATTAGCAACATAATATTGGATGTTGGTGTCCTACTGTTGATAATTTTATCCGAACGAGCACTGGGAGACTCCAGGAGATTAAGAGAGGAGTAGATATTATGTATAAGAACTGCCTTTTGTGCTTCTCACAGAAAATAAAGCACACTCCCATAATATCTCTGGGTAAGATCCTGGGTTTTTTTTCGCCTGAAGGGTTGCAGAGGGCTATGGAGGAATATCTTCAACCTCTGCTGACTATTAGGGCATTTAACACCTATTAAAGAAACACCTGTTTCTTTAGGATGCTGCCTCATTTTCACGTGCCCTGTGGCATCATGATCACAATTTATATCCTCTTATTCCTATCCATTTCTATTAATCTGCCCTGGATGCCCATCTGTAGGAATGGATCAGGAGGGAAGCATCCATAGCCTTAACCAGTTCTCAGAGAAAAGCCTGCTGGGTTATTGGTTGTTCTCTGACGTCTTCCACGTACCCCTTCTGAAACATGCCCATCGTATTAGAGGAGGCTACAGAACTTCTGGGACATGTGGGTGTGAGAGGGTTGAGGTCACAAGCCAGGAAGATATTGCTTCTTCACTTCCTCATCCTCTTCCAGGCTGCTACTATGTCATGTTTTCCCCTGTTCCTGTAACTGGGGGCTTGATGCAGATTTACAGTATACTAGGGCAGGGATTCCCAAGGCTGGCATGATCACCTACCCTTAGTTCCACTGTCGGCAGCAAGAATAAAGCTAAGAATTGATCATGTTTCCTGGTCTACTCACTGATATCTCTGATGAAGAAGCTGCTGGTGTAGTTCTCATATTCCACCTCATCGATGACCTCCAGGAACATGTCAGTGGGCTGGTGCTCTTCAGCAAAGGGACAGTAGTTTTCTTTGCGGCACTGGGACGTGTATTTGGTCACTGATCCATCGGTGTGAGCCACAGGGCTGCTGCAGGTCACATCTCCCTGAGGGCTGGACACAGAACAGAGTAAAGGAGTGGGGATGCTGGTTGGTTCTGAGAATGTGTTGCCACAACAACAACAACATGTAGTGTTGTAAGGTTAGGTAAGGTAATATTTTGATGTTGTTTGTATCATTTCGTGGCTGCCCTTCATCTGCTGCAGAAAAAGCTCAGTGGGAGTTCCTACATTTTCAGTGCTGTAGGACATATTAATGTAAAATCACAACCACACCACAGCCCCTGCCTTAGCAGAAGGAATCAGTGTTTAACCCTAAAGCAGGGTATCACTGTTTTTATTACTAGTATCCCATGGCAAGCTCTAGTATCTTACTTTGTTCCTTCACCCTCTCCAAATCCTTGTTGAAGAAAGGAGGGAAGGTGGAGAAGTATCTACTGGGAAATAAATACCAAAACTCATCTATAAAGTACTACCTGAATCTGGTTCTATTTTTGCTTTCAGCTAAATAAAACTTGTTTCTTGTTGTTTCTTCTTTAATGAACTGAAGTGACTTTTGCTGAAGTACTCCATGTTTTGGAGAAACCCCCAGGAGTGGTGGGAGGCAGGAAATCCCCCCAAGGTTCCCATCACACATTTCCCTCACAGGTTTCTGCTGTGTTCCTCAGCAGAGACTTGTCAGTGGGCATGTGGCCTCTGCCGTGGGTGCAGCCTCCCACTCCCTTCATTCTGTCCCCTCTCGGGACTCGGAGCTGTGGTTGTTTCTGCTTTTGGCTCAACTTCCTCTCTCCCCTCCACAAACTGTTCTGCTATTGCTTAAGTTATTCTGTGGCTGAAACAGCCCACTGGGTGTCATTCCATTTTCATGTCTTTATTAATTTCTGAGCTACTTCCATGCTGTTATTAGTTAACTTATTCCCTGTGATGCCTCAAAATATTTTGCAGATATTCTGGCTCTGCAAGAGAAATTTCTTCCTTTCTACATGTTCTAAACAGCCTAAAATCCGGGATCTCCTAGACAGAGTAACACAAAGGGCTGCTCTGGCCTTACTATGAGTTTGTTAAAGAAAGTACAAGCTCTAACCCTTTTAGACTTTTGATGGTGAACTTCACATTTGGATTCTCATTTTCTGTCATCCATGAACACATGAAAATTCCAGAGTAGTTCTTTGCCTCACATTTTAAAAACGTCCGCTTTGGCTCTAGATGGAAAAAGAAAGAAAACATGATTTATTTATTATTCTTGCTGAAATGGTCAAAGCAGAGACAAAACAGCAGTTCGATGGACTTATACCTATTTTGGCAGGTGGGTTCATAGGCAGACACAGTCTGAGGCTGTCCCGTGGGCAGCCACGTGTAGTTACAGAGCCAAATAACAGGTAGTGGCCAAAGCCTGGTTCACGTGGCACCACATCAACGTGGCATTGACAGAAGCCAGAGCACACCCAGGCTGTGGCAAAGAGCTGTCAGGAAGAGATTTACATGAACAAATCCACTGTTCCTTCCACAAAGAAATCCTGCAGCTGTGCAGTTGGCAAATCCCTGTGTTTGTTACCACAGAGCCACTGAAGGAATTATTTTCATTCCACTGTCAGTAAAGCCTTCGAGAGAACCCATTTTAAAGTGGGTATTTCTCACACATTTCCAGAAAGCTCCCTCTGGCCCTCAGTGCCCAAAGCTAAGCAAGGAACATCCCATCTTCCATACCTTTAAAGCTTTTCAGAATCGACCTTATCATTTGCCCGTTGGAGTCGATTTTGCTTATGAGGAAGAAATTATAGCTGAGGATTTCATGGGTATTCTCCGCCAGACAGGTGTAGTTTCCAGCATCTGGGAACTCCTTCACTTCAGCAATCAGAGTCTTTCCCTTTCCTTTCCATTCAGAGTCCTTTTTCCAGTAAACTGCTTCATTGGGTGAGTTACAGGTGAGCTCCACTCTCGTAGCTGGTGTCTCAGCATTCCACTCAGATTCTATGACATACACTGCACATGGCAAAGAAAGAAATTAGCAGCTACTCCTACGTGCCAGTGGGAAGGTTGGACTGAGTCCTTTTCCCTCAGCTCTACTGTCCAGGAGCTCAACACTCCAGTGAGATGTAAGTTCCAGTGAGTTCTAGGACCTTCTCACCAGAGCATTTCACTATCAGAATAAGAGCTTTAAGGCTTTACCACAAAGGAGAAACACTAAGAAATACCTGTCAAACACAGAATCTTAACTGGCAGAAAACATTCAGCTCTAGGAAGTTTGAAAGTTTCCCAAACTGCTTATGGACTTGTGAAACACAGGCAAGGTGAGTCTTACAGACTTCAAACACAAAGTTTACTCCCGATGTTGACAAACAGATTTGCAGTTTTCAGCACCGTGGTATTGCCCAGAGAACCCACAGGATATTTTTTTTTTAATGTAAATATATGTGGAAAAGTAATTTAATTCCTTTTTAGAAATGGAACACAATCGAGGATATTTTTTTCATGTTGACTTGGGTCCTTCTTTTTGGACAATTACCTTGAAGGCAGCTTGGATTATGGAGCTACACTGAGTGAATAAGAACAACAAATTTTATTATCTGAATTTAGCCAAATTTTCTGGTAAATTATTCAAAATAGTTGTTTGTTTATTACCGTGTATTTTTACAAATGTATTTACATTTGACTTATTTGCCAGAAAAGTTGATAAACTATTTCTAGGTTTTAAGTTTTACTTAGAAATATTTTTTTCCACAATTAATTCTTCACTTGTTTGATTTTGGGCTGTTACCTCAGTCACAAGAGGCTGTTTCTGCCTCCAGGCTGCATGACTGAAACTTTTGAAACACAAGGAGAAGGAATGGGAAATAGGACAGTTGCTAATGCAAATATAGCAAATATTCTATTGTATGACATTTTAGGACTTCTAAATATTTCTTCCAATAACTCCAATTAATTGGCTAATTATTGACAAACAAATACAGAGGAAGAACCTTGGCCTAAGATACTATAATTAACAAATTCTGTGCATGTGGCCACAATTATAATTCAGAAATGGCCATATCCTGAAGGTAGCTGAAGGTCTCAGAAGGTAAAGACTTGCTTACCATTTTCCTGAAGTTTCCACTGCACAGCTTCCAGTAGGGCAGCAAAGGAAAACAGTGAAAGTAAGGCACAGAGCAGGTGAGGCATCTGGAAGGAAAAAATAAATTGCTGAACTTCACTGAGGTTGGCTGAGTGTGCATTGAAATCAGGCTCGTGCTGGACAGAGTGACAAGACAGGGTCAGTCCCAGTGAACTAAGAGACATTCTCCTGTTCTAAAAGCTCCTGGACTATGTAAAAATTGAGTTTGTAACACTGTCTTGATCCACTTGTTACTTTCACCACAAGCCACACTAGAGAAGCAATCATGGACCTCAGAGGAAATGGTTGTGTTCATTGATCTGTCAGGAGCTCAGAAGCATCCTCAGATCCCTCGGTTAAATATTCCTCATGCAAGAAAAGTCCTTCTGATGCCAATGACGTCAGTTGTATGAACAAGGCACTGGACTAAAGGATCAGTGGACATTAAATTTCATTCATACAAAGCTTGTGGGCTAAACACATCAGCAGTCCTATTAAAACAAAAGATTGTCAGTAAAGGGAAAGGCCTGCTGAAGGGTTTTGCTGGACCGTTGTCTCCATCACGTCTGTGAGAACAAGTGACAGCAGGGTCAATAACGCAGTGTAGAGCTGGAGTCAACACTGACCATTGCCTAACTGTTCTAGTGTCCACCTCAGGTTGCACACACTAATTAAATTTTCAAGCAATTTCAGGCAAAATTCCTCCTAGATTCAGTGGCACAGCTCTATTTGCAGAAAGGGCTGGATACGTAGATCATTGTTGCTGTGTGTGTAGCTGTATTTACAACATATAAATGCATATTTATCCTGAACTTATTCAAAATACTGCTAGAGCTCTTTATGAAACACCAAACACCTTTATCAAATATTGCAGTAATCACTGGGTACATAAAAAACTTTAACAACAGTTATGTAGATACACTTCCAGACCTTTTTTAGCTGGAGATTAAGCCAAATGAATAGGAAAATGGCTTAGAAAAAGAGACTGGTGAATATAGCTTTCAAAGCCTGTTCTGACTACAATATGAGTCCAAACACACATGAAAAACATAAAATTAGGTGGTTGGGGGTTTTTTCCTCCCAAACCAGTCTTTTTTTAATAAAAGGGGAGTAGCCCTCCTGATTTCTTGAGAGTGTGTGTTCCTTTGTGTGCCAAATCTGTTCCTCGCTGGCAGCTCCTGCTGTTATGAACCATCCTTAACCTCGGTCAGAAATCAGCTGTCCCTGGTCCACTGCCCTTTGGATTTGTGCACAGCTATTAATAGGACCAGAAGCTACCAGCAAAATATCTGGAGGGTGTTTAGGAGAGGAACCATCTCCTGTTGCAGCTGCACTGAGAGCGGCACAACCCCAGTGAAAGGCTGGTTACCATCAAGCAGCCAAATACAGAATCATTTAGGTTGGAAAAGACCTCTAAGACATACAATATCCTATTAGTAGTGTATTGCTTCATTACAAGGCAAACCCTCTTTGCTGATGATTTCATGTGCAGGCAGGATTAGCTGGAATTTCCAAAAGAAAACTACATTTTGCAACTTTCTGAAAAGATGTCGATTTCTGTCATTGAAACATGACATTCATCACTACACTTCATAAACCCAAAACTAAACATCAAAACACCAACTAAAACTGGAGGAGTGTGATACATGCCTTTCCTTCCATAGCAACCTTTTGGCAAAATTAAGACCTCCAAAACAGAAAAGTTTTTCCTGCTTTTGGGGGGAAGCTTCACATGTTTGTGATGAAAGAAGTTAACGATTTTAATGGAAATTATTCCATTTTTGAGATGGGGGGAGAACACTCCCTCCCCCATCTCAAAATTTTATTGAAAAAGTAATCAGAAATAAACTCAGTTTCTGAACATCATTAATCAGTGCAGTTGCCTGAGCACTTCATAGATGAGGAGAGCATTCCAACATCATATGTTCAGAGAATCACAGAATTATGGAAAGGTTTGGGTTGGAAGGGACCTTAAAGATCATCCAGTTCCACCCCCTGCCATGGGCAGGGACATCTTCTGCTAGACCAGGTTGCTCCAAGCCCTGTCCAACCTGGCCTTGAACACTTCCAGAAATGAGGCAGCCACAGCTTCTCTGGGCAACCTGTGCCAGGGGCTCACCACCCTCATAGGGGAGAATTTGTTCACATACATTCAACCTAAAGCTGCTCTCTTTCAGTTTGAAGCCATTGCCCCTTGTTTTGTCACTCCAGACCCTTGTCCAAAATCCCTCTCCAGCTCTCTTGGAGTCCCTTTAGGCACTGGAAGGGGCTCTAAGGTCTCCCCAAAGCCTTCTCTCCTCCAGTCTGACACCCTCGGCTCTTCCAGCCTGGCTCCAGACCAGAGGAGCTCCAGCCCTTGTGGCATCTCTGTGGCTTTCTCTGGACTTGCTCCAGCAGCTCCATGTCCTTCTTTTGCTGGGGACCCCAGAGCTGGAGGCAGCACTGCAGGTGGGTTCTCATGAGAGAAGAGTAGAGGGGCAGAATCCCCTCCCTTGGTGTTCCCTCCGTGTTCCCTGTGATATGGAGCACAAGGTGCTGTAAATCAGCACAAACTCCTTTGCTGAGAATCACAGAATAACTTCTGTCAGCAAGGACCTCTGGGCCTCATCTGGCCCAGTCTCAGCTCTAGTCAATGGAACAGTCTGACCATAAGTACATATTTGTCACCGTTCACACCCCAGCAACACCAGTACAGTGAGATAAAGAGATTATTACCTGATAGCATAGATAACAATTCTGTGAGCTTTGCACATACGCACATTATATGCTAAACTTCAGGGAGATGAGCATAGAAATACTATCCTGAGAAAAATGTCACAAAAACTATTTAAATACACTTTAAAATAAATAATTATAAGTTCTCATTAGTTTTATCTGAAGCAGCTGGTACCAGAGTAAGAGAAGAAAGGAATTCTCACCTTTTCCTGTGACGGCGCCTTTAGTGAAGTTGTCAGGCAGGTTTGATTTGTGATCTGAAGGAAGCAAAGTGCTGGCTCCCTTATAAATACTCCTAAACTCTGAAAGGAAAGGGATGCTCTGTTTCACCGCAATACCACAGAATTGCAACACGTGGTTTGAGTTCCTTTTTTACATAGTGGCACAGCTAAAGCAAAAAAAAAAAAAACTTGGGACTCCCAGGTAAACTTGAATGAGGAAATGAGATTATGAGATTGTTAAAATGACCTTTATAGTTTGAGCATTTCTTTTTCCTGTCTGATTCTCTGTCTCTCTCATACAGCCTGTTCATTATCTGAGGAAGAGTAAATACAGGCCAAATAAACTTCCAGAACTCTCTGATGGGAAATACATTATAAAGACAGAAAGAGAAAGTTAAATAAACTAAAACCATTTCTATCTGATAAGCATGAAAGAGATAATTACATGAAATACAATCCCAGCTACCACATCAATCAGAGGTAAAGGGAACATATATATTTTTTAATTAGTACTTTAGAATTGTGTTTGTTCTAAGAATTGAGATTTAGGTCAACCAAAAAATAAACAATTAGTTCCGCCTTAGAAATAAAAACCTGGTATTCACGCATTATTTTACATTGCAGTTTTTAAATATAATCTAATAAACCTGATGTTCCTTTTAGACCTTAGGTATAAGAAGAGCTCTGTGCTCAATATGGGGTTTGAAAATTAGGAAAAAGTTTTCATTTTTTTTTATTATTTGTGAAATAATATAATACAATTCTCATTATTTGTCAGGCAAACCGAAATACACGGATTATAAAAGCAAAAAAAAGTTTTGAAATTCAACCTGCTTAGGAAGAGACACGACTCTATCCCATGTACTTTCCAGTGACAGTATTCCTACAACCCAGCAGTCAAAGCCATAGTGCCACAATCCAGCAGTAAAAAGATGGTGCCTGTAGAATCATGGAATAGTTTGGATAGGAAGAGACCTTAAAGCCTGTCCAGTTCCATCTCCCTTCCATGGGCAGGGACACCTTCCACTAGACCAGGTTGCTCCAAGCCTGTCCCAACACAGCCTTGAACACTTCCAGGGATGGGGCAGCCACAGCTTCTCTGGGCAACCTGTGCCAGGGCCTCACCACCCTCACAGGGAGAATTTCTTCCCAATATCACATCTGACCCTGCCCTCTGTCAGTGTGAAGCCATTCCTTCTTGTCCTGTCACTCCAGGCCCTTGTAAATAGTCCCTCACCATCTCTCTTGTTGGCTCCCTTCAGGTACTGGAAGGCAACAGTTAGGTCACCCTGAAGCTTCTCTTCTCCAGGCTGAACAATCCCAATTCTCTCGGCCTTTCCTCACAGCAGAGGTGCTCCATCCCTCAGATCATCTTGGTGCCTCCTCTGGACTTGCTCCAACAGGTTCATGTCCTTCCTGTGCTGGGGACCCCAAAGCTGGAGGCAGCACTCGAATGATCTTTCAGAAGTCCTTCACATGGATGAAACCACACAAGCATCCTCAATATGTTGCCTATTTGGTGCCCCCAAATATGGCAAGTACATAAAACAAGAGGAGGAGCAACCCAAATTAGCAGGGAGATAAACTTATCAGCAGGTGCAGTGCATGGGGTTCCTGTGTATTGCCACACACCTGGGAGGCAAACAGCAGAGAGGGTGGAATCCCCCGACTGGAGAGAGGGTAGTCTTGGGATTCTGGATTAACTGTACTGAAAGCTTTACACAAAAGTACATAGTGCCAGTGGACTCCTTTCCCCTCCCCTCTTCCAAGAAGTGTGGCTTCAGTAGGATCACATACACCTTTGGCAGCTGAGCTGGAACTCCCTCCCATCTGACAGGACACAAAACTCAGGCACTGCAATCTCAGGTGGCCCTGATGACTCCCTGCCAATCCCAAAGTGCCCAACCTGCTCCTCAAACATTGGCCTCAGAATTCCCTTTGCCAGAGCTCATAGCCAGAGCTGGGCAGGTGGAGCATGAGGGCTCCAGGTGGGAGGGCAGCCCTTGGAAGCAGGTTTGAAATGGTGCCTCTGACACAGAGAAAAACTGTTCCCTTCATGTCCCAAATGCTGAATCTGGATCAAAGTGGTTTATTGATTTATTCCTGAAACAGAATTGACCAGCAATCAGTGA